GTCTGTCTGCTGCTGTTAGCTGTCTATCTGCAGCTGTTACAGGTCTGTCTGCAGCTGTTACCTGTCTGTCTGCTGCTGTTACCTGTCTGTCTGCTGCTGTTGGTGTGTTTGAGCAGAGAAACAAAGGAGTCATAGACAAACTGATAGAATTATTTTCACATACAAAACTCATGTGCAGTTTGTTTTTGCTTCACTGTGGGGACCCTGGATTTTAACCTGCTCTATGGGGACACTTTAAAATGACCTCCCCACTTTTTAAACTTATTTGTTTTGTTTTAGCTTGGTGGTTGTTAATGTCTGGGTCTCATTTTTAGATTAATTATAATCTTGGATCAGTTTTCCTTGTAAAACATGGCAGGGTTGTGCTGCTGCCCCCTGCAGGAACTGTATGCAAGTGCAGTGCAGGAGGTGACTGGTCAGGTCCGGTTCGCTCATCAGTGGGTCAACATGACAGACGTGACTGTTCAGATCAACGGCACACACACGGTGAGGACACATGCAGAAACACACGATTGTATTTCTGTCTTTATTAGGACATTATATTGGCTTCCACTTGTTTTAGTAACCAGACATCTTTTTAAATCAATGTGATGGTATTCATGTTGTTTAATTATTTGCTTTAAGGCTACCTTATTTATTATTATGATTATGAATAATATTTCAATATACAGTAGTCCCTCGCTACTTCGCGGTTTGTTTTTCACGGAATCGCTCAATCCCGTTTTTTCAAAGTAAGATTGGACATGACAGACAATGGCTGATTGATGCATGAGCCACACGATCAGCATGAATTTTTAAAAAAATAAATATTTTAAATTATTTAGCACCTGTGTGCTGCCCACAGCTGTGGGAGAAGCTTCCTCCTGCAGCTGATCAGCTGATCTTGCTCTGAACGGAGATCAGCTGATCTTCATGTAGAGTGGAGAAGTGGGCGTGGCCGAGAGTGCAACCAGAGGCAGAGAGCTGAAATCACAACATTGTGTGCTCTTTTAGAGCGTTTACAATTTAGAAATTTTTTTTGGAAAAATGCAAGAGTGTGGGAAGGGTTTAAAAAGCCTTAATATAAACTGTAGTGTGTGTGTATATATATAAACAGGCCCTTCTCAAAAAATTAGCATATTGTGATAAAGGTCATTATTTTCCATAATGTAATGATAAAAATGAAACTTTCATATATTTCAGATTCATTGCACACCAACTGAAATATTTCAGGTCTTTAATTGTTTTAATACTGATGATTATGGCATACAGCTCATGAAAACCCAAAATGCCTGTCCCAAAAAATGAGCATATCATGAAAAGGTTCTCTAAACAAGCTATTAACCTAACCATATGAATCAACGACGTAACTCTAAACACCTGTGATATAGAAATTATTATTTTAATGCTTTTATGTCAATCTAGACCTATATTACACTTATTTAAACACACTTATACAACGTGTTATTCACATATTAGGGATTGTATTTTGTATTATGTTTTATGAGGTGTTGGGTCGCCTTTTATGCCTGTTCAAACATATACTTTGTGTGTGTGTTGCTTATACACTCTTTGATGGTTTGCAGAAGGGACGGAGGGGTGCTCTTTAGGAATGCTTTAATAAGCATTAGGAGTGCTCTTGACCTGGAAGCTTTGGCCCGCTTTTACGGTCACAGGCGCTCCTTACTGGAAGGATGAGCCATCGCTTTGATGATGGTTTAATTAGATCCGTTGTTCTGGTAACCATCAAACTTGTTTTGAATGCTCTCACGCGATCCGGTAAATGGTATAAAGGAAGTGTGACAGGCAACTTAATCTCGGGAAGTCCTGTGATGGATCAGCACGCGCCCTGGTGCCATGCGCCATTTTTGATGTGATTCTTCTTTACCTGGGTCGAAAACGACTTCCCGGCCAGTGTCACGGTGAGAAGTTATTTCATATCAATCTGTGTGTTAAGAGTGTACATGTTTTTTGCTTGGCTGTTTTCTGTGGCAGGATAATAAAGGACACTTATTACTCCTAGCAGTGACAGCTTCCTCTGTGTTTTATTTTTCCTTCTGGTCTGAATATCTGTGCCGACCGTTTCACGAGCCCTTTTGATAAAGAATTTCATAATACAACCTGCAAAAGATTCCTGAGGCTTTTAAAAACTCCCAGCCTTGTTCATTACTCAAAACCACAATCATGGGTAAGACTGCCGACCTGACTGCTGTCCAGAAGGCCATCATTGACACCCTCAAGCAAGAGGGTAAGACACAGAAAGAAATTGCTGAACGAATAGGCTGTTCCCAGAGTGCTGTATCAAGGCACCTCAGTGGGAAGTCTGTGGGAAGGGAAAAGTGTGGCAGAAAACGCTGCACAACGAGAAGAGGTGACCGGACCCTGAGGAGGATTGTGGAGAAGGGCCGATTCCAGACCTTGGGGGACCTGCGGAAGCAGTGGACTGAGTCTGGAGTAGAAACATCCAGAGCCACCGTGCACAGGCGTGTGCAGGAAATGGGCTACAGGTGC